TTATTTCCCTATTGATAGTTTTATATATACTTGTTTGAAACTATGATATAGCCTCTGCCAATTGGTGGGTGAAGATGTGGGTGAGTGTTGTTTGTGCCTTAGTGTAATTTTGGAAAATTAAATAAAAAGAATTTTTAAAAAAACCTGAAAAATGATTGGCTGCGGTTGGTTACTACATTTTGTAAACTATTTTTGCTCTCTGCTCTGTTTTCTTAAATAAGCCCATGAGAGTTGTAGGAAGGGATGATTGAAGGAATTCTACTTTTATACTGTATGTATAGCCAAACATTTCTTTAAGTTTTTTTGGTTAGAGTGAGGAATGTTTTGAACCCCGAGCAAGTTTTTATTACTGTCCAAGTCACACTTAAAAGATTCAGCATCTCTATTTGTACTGTTGGCAACATAACCCCCAGAGCAAGTCCCTATAGGAAGATGTTCCCTCTATTCCAGTTTTGGGAACATCTGTTTAAAAATAAAAATTTTCTATAATAAAAAAATATTTTATTATGGAAAATTGCTTCAATACGTTGTCACTAATCTGGCACAAGTATACACATAAGGATAATACATCTTTAAATGTCTGTTTGTATGCCAGCAGTGCGAATTTGACCTGGTAACAGCCTTTTGCAATCCATGTACACGAGGGCTTATGTATGAGAAGAATAAGCAACACACGGAGCCTATCAGTTCATGTGTTGACAAGAAGCAAGCTGATAGGATGAGAAAGCAGAGTGGCAGAGAAATCAGCTCATCACTGTGCTGCTTCTCCTTTCACTGTTCAGTTACAGGCTGGGGCAGGACAGCCTGGACTGAGAGGAAAATCGTTGAATGTTGCTGGCCATCACAAAGAGGAGATCCAGTGATAGAAAAAGGTCATGGGGGAGAAATGTCTGGAATGGATGTAAATATTGGATCAAAAACTGGTATTGTCGTTTTTTTAGCTTTTAATGGGCCATTCATTTTTATGTTATTTTTACTGGAGTTTTGCTTTAATGCCTTATGTGGAGCCAATGTGGATTAGGTACAGTGGTACCTCGGTTCACAAACTTAATTCGTTCCACGATTCTGGTCGCGAACCGAATCAAACTGTGATCAGACCGCGATCTCGACTAGAGGAAGCCACGACCATGTGTCAGAGCAGGCAGATGGCTGCGGTTGTGTTCGTCACTCGAAGCGGAGTTCGCGAACGTAAGCAAAATTTTGCCAAACTTCCTGTTTGCTTGTTCGACCAGAAGCGTTCATGAACCGAGGTACCACTGTATAGAGAGTTCTCGATTTACATCTTACTCAGTTTATGGTGCCTAGACATTGACCCTATGAACCTGGAGTTGCTCAGGGCAGAAATCAGTGAATGGTAATTTAGCTATATCGTACAGTACTTCTCACCTCCTACAGTGGTCCTTGGTGCAAAGGAGACCAAGGCTATTGGGAGCACTTTACAGTAGGGCGGAAGTGATGAGGTAGCTTTCTAGCAACCTGAATCACTTCTAAATTATCTGCAGGCAGGTTATTTATAAAACCACCTCACAGTTGCTGAAGGAAACTTCATTTTATCTTCTCCCCTTTTCTCCTTCAAAGCACATACTCATATTCCATCTTTAGCCTTCCAAGAAAGAGATATAGTTAAAAAAAAAGAGAGATAGAATACAGACCTATTTAAATAGGTTAAACCCCTTGAGAAAAGCCCATAATTATATTATTTCTAGACATAGCAGTCTGAATGACATTCAATACTTAGAGTTTTGTAAGATGCAAAGGACTGATCAGATTAAAAAAACAGCTAAAGTGAGTAGAGAATTTTTCTTCAATTCCCTAATCTTATGAGTATGTCCACACTTTCAGCCCCATAACAGGGTTATTACATGTGCATGGTAAATTGAACAAACTATTACATTGGGCTATAACTGAAAACACATCATGTACTAGCTAGGGACTAAACACAATGGAGGGGAACCTATCAAAACTAGAGTAAACAGAATCTGGAGCAGTTGCCAATGGCAATTAATCAGCTTCTAGCTTTCATTTTTAAAGCTTAACTGAACGAACTGAAGAGAGAAGCTGATTAGTTACTATAGGCAACGGCTCCTGTTTCGATAAACTCCCCCACAGTATATATATAGCACTGTTTCAAGTGAAAAACAATTTTTGAACAGTATGGCAAAAATTAGATTAGAACCAATACACACAGTATTGGTCTCACACACCATACAAACATGCCCCATTTATGAGGACAAAGCAAAAGGGGCGCTTCCATAGTGTAAAATTGATTTCGTAAGGCTAAAACACAGCTGAAAAGATACTTACAAATCGGCTAGTATAAACGAGCAGAAAGCGATATAATCTTAGGAGACCATCAAGATGAATACACGAAAATGGGGTGAGAGAAAGGAAGTGCTAGTACTAAGCCAAAGCCATCTGCACCCTGACCCTCCTTCAGTTGACGCATTTCTGAGGACAAACCTCTTTCATCAGAAACGGTTTCCCTTGACTACGAGGAGCTGCCCCCCCCCGTATATACTTTTGGAAGACCATTTTCAGGAGCAGTTACTGTGTTTTGGCGCCTGTGATTTTCACACATCTTTATGCCCCATTTATGTTAGTGTTTAGTGCTGTTGTCATTAGATGGATGACTCCTTCTATTAATAAGAAACATTTCTCCCCAGCACACCATCCTTGTCCCATGAAAGAAATGTTATTACTTCATTAACACAGTAAATCAAGGTAGAATCTTAAAAACGGTGGTTTGCTGTGTTGATTAAATAATAAGTGTCTTTTCTGAGACAAGGAGAGTGTGTTGGTGAAAAATATTCCTGACCTGTTGGGATAATACCCCCTCAGTTCATGTCCCAGGCCCGCAAAATAAAAAAGACTTTCCAAAGGGAGGGGAAATCCAACCTCTTGTTATAAGAGGACAAGTATGAACATGCTACCCAGCAGGGACACCTGTATAGTGAGGAATGTAAATGGCAGGATTTCTTCTTCTCACCTATTGTCAGTGGCAAAGCTCCCCAAAGTGACAGATCTTTTAACTCTTACCCACGCTTTAGCTCAGTACTTCGTAAATGCTGGAGCCACTCATGTTTCTTGCATCTCTTGGGGATTTCTCTAGTGGGATGTGCTCCTAGGTTTGCAAACCTACCATACCCAGTATCCCTGTTTAATTTATTTTGTGTTAATGGCAATGCAACTGTAGAATGGGGAGCAGCAAAGGCTCCTAGATAGGCAAGAACCAGTATCTGGGAGATCTCAACCAATAAGATTTTTTTTTTCTTCCTTCGAAATTCTGCTTGAAGATGGCCAGTTCAAATTTAACTCTCTGCTCTAGTCAACACAGACTTTTTTCCTGTTACTTATACATATAAACGTGGTCAAAGTCTTGCGTAGTCTTAAAAAACCCCAAAACAATGGATACATTTGCATATACCCATTTATTTAAGCACCAGAAAGGACCAACATATTCTATAGTATGCTGGCAGAAGACAGTGTTGTTCATCCTAGCTCTGTTGAATCCGTAAGATATTAGTGGTTAGCTGATATTTTATTTAAAAAAAAGTTTTTCTTTATATTTTAACAGTTGTGCTTAGTAAAAAGGAGTATGAAAAAGTTGAAAATTAATATTATTGAAGTAAAAACATTACAATAAAAAAGTTCACATTGTATTCTAAAGTTCTCATCCCTTATAAAATCATTTTTGTTCATTTAAAGTGACCCTGTATAGAGAAAACACAATGTATTCCTCACACTGTGTAGCAGCCACCATAAGGTACTTGCACTTACCTTAGGCTGATATCCACTGCCACTGCCTCCTAAAATTTATAAGCACAGCGCAAAGCATGTTCAGTTACTCTCTACATGACAGCACTGAAGTCCATAAATTGGCTGCTCAGACACCCAGCACTGGACTGGGGTAGGAAAGTGTCACCATGTGCCCCATATCTAGATATACATGGTATTTATGAAGGCTTTGGCAGTTGACATGAATTGAGGACAAGTGCAGTACACATTATGGTTCTTGCTGGGTAGTGTCATGCTTACAATAGGTTTGTTTCCTCCATACACAGTTAATATTGCATTATTTGATTTTGCAATTGCTAACAATAAAACAAAATATTGTGGCACATTTTATAATCCACCTCACAATTCAGCATGCAAGGTTACTGTTCAATGGTTCAGTCCATTTTCCTTTCTATAAATAGCAATGTGCACCCGTATAAAAGGAGTGCCACCGTCCGTGTTACAGCTGTAAAGAAAAATATGAAATTACATTTCAGCATTGTGTACTACACGTAATACACACACTAAACAATTTTCAGAAAAACAACAAACAGTTAGATAACACCATTGTAAAATTTTTATGCTTCCTTATATGGTTTATAAAACAAATGCATGTAAACATTATTTTACAGAAAGCAAGAGATGAATGCAGTTTTTAACCCCTTAAGGATCAATGACAGAATTATTCCATCATGGTTGTCCGTGCAATAAGGACCCATGACGCAATAATAATTCCGTCATGGGTCCTTAAGGGTTTTAGCTTCCCTCATGCACTATACAAGAACTTATATATGTATATGTCACATCAAATTAAAGCCCCTTTTGTCCTTTAAACAACGGTATGTAATATGTGTTGGTGCCATAAATGAGAAAGATGGAAATTGCCGTTGAACACACAGCAAGAAATGCTTTGGTCCTTAACTGAAAGACAAGCATCTGAAGCTTGGTCCTTAAGGGGTTAAAGCTGAAACTCCAGACAGATGTAAAATACACAAACTAATGGAGCTTTGTATACATTGACACATCATTACATTACAAAAAGATGCAAATACCTAAATTTGACCTGGTATCAACCTCCAGCAGTTCCTGTACAGCAGAGCTGATGTGTGAGAGGAGAAAGCAGCACAAGGAGCCTACCAGTTCATGTGCTAAGAAATAGTATGCCGATAGGAGGAGAAAGCAAAGAGCTCATCAATGTGCTGCTTCTCCTTTCATTGACCATGGTTTTGAGTAGAGTAGGGAGGGGTTACAATCCCTGTTAAGCTTTTATTATCTGTGTCCCTGCTGGGGAGAGTCAGCCGTTATATTTGCCCAGCTGACCATCGTCACTGGAACAAAAACTGATGGAAAATCCAAAGTTTTACAGTTGTCATGGCAACAAAAGATGAGCGGAAATATTCCAGTGGGGACACCTGTTCATATAACTGTGTCAGGTGGGATTTCCTCTTACTTTGGAGAAACTGCCTCCTACTTCATGTTGTGTCTCTGTAAATTGAGTATTCCCTTATGAAACAAGGACACAAAAACAAAAAGCCTAAAACAGGGTTTTAGCTATTTCCCAAAAAAATATTGGTTAGAAATACACTTTAGGGTATATTTATCAGGTAGTGAATGTGACATTCTCCAAACATTCACTGCAGTTGTATCTTGCATGTGTTTTGAGCTGTAGCGATTGATTCTCCTGCCGTGAACGTTTGCTCAATGTCACATTTACTGCTTTCTACATTTGCCCATTGAAGTGCCAACTTAAACTATATCTAATAAAGCTTTTTATTAACAGAAACTACATTCTATGACTCAGCCAGAGACATAGACAACAACAAAGAGGTCACTATGCATTTTTGGTGCGTCTTATGTTTCTGCTCGCATAAATAAGTGGATCAGGAAGTTTTTATTAACATGCATATGGCATTAACCAACCATAGGAATGAATAAAGTTATGACAGCGCTTCTCCCCCTCGGGGCGATAAATCCGAAGTGACATCAGAAGGTATTCAAGGTTTGCAAAACACAAAACAGCAACTGCAGTGTTCTGTAGATATAAATCATCCCGTCTAATCAGCAGCTTAAAGGACAGCGCCAAGAAATATTTAAGGAAAGTATAGTGGGAGGAACGCAAAGTGTTAATTGCACTTATTTCTGCACATTTCTTTCCTAGATACAGCCCCTTAAAACTATGGCCTGTGCAGCTGTACGGTTAGTTCAATGCTTCCAGTCATTTTTACATACTTACAAAGTTTGATATAATGAGCAGAAATAAATATAGTACCGTTTCGATACATACCACAGTATTTACTCCTCCACAAACAGGATGTTCAATGGCTCTCATCATCAGACTCGCTTCTGTCTTTCTTCCTTCTTCTAAAGATGTTCATAAACGTTTCTCTAAAACTGTTGCTAACGGTCATCTGAGCGGCTGCACTTGCACTTTTAGGTCGTGGGAGATTCTGCAGAAGATTATCATATGAATGCTTTGCCCATTTAAAATATTTTTTGATGTGAACACAATAAGGCTGTCAACAGCGGCTGCACTACAACGCATAGCCGCTGGTGTGCATCAGCTGTCACTGTGCCAATGCGGCACTTTGCACTGTTTACATTTTTTTTTTTAGAACTTTAGTGAAATGTAACAGTGACATTTTATTAACTTCTTGGCCACCGTGCGGTGTGATGTGGTGGTGCCACACCGCGGCCTCCTGCACTAAAAAAAAAAAAAAAAAGGACTGCATGCAACGCAGTGGTGTGAACTCTTCCTATTTGTGACAAGGACAATGCCCTTACTTATTGAAGATGCCCATAGGATGTACTTCATCAGTGCACTGACACAATTTCACTCAGCCCTGTGAATCTTTACTTCCTTGTGTCACAGTTCTAACTAAGCCAGCTTTATGAACTACAAGTCAATGTCTGAACTTCCAACAATGCAATGAAAGCAATGCATAATGAGATATGTAGTCTTGAGAAATCGAGATTGCATCACATCAGGCAGCAGGGAAAGAGGTGCAAAGCACACTGGGAGTCCAGGAATTTGTTGAAAGTGACAGTCAGACAGAAGGCAGCACTCGCTACATAAAAGGGATTTTTTCAAGTAAGCTTTGATTGCATTATCAACAACTATAGTATGTATTTCTATTACAATGCTGATGTTATAACAGGATAGTATATGCTGGGGCTATAGAACTCCCTTAATAAAACAGGAGGCAATTCTATCGATAAGAAGGTCAGCTCCTTGCAGATATTGCAGTGGTGTATTTTTGTCCCAATGGTAACAGAAACTTAACTTCTACATATGGATATGATAGGTACAGGCATTTGTTGAGATATTGTTATAAAAGTGGGATGAGTACAATAGGAGGCAGTGTGGTATATCTGTATTACCATTTCCTGCACAAATATCACCTCTTACCCCAGATTTCTCTTACAATCAAAAATTATACTGACATGATAAATATGCTTTGGACAAAACCGGCTCTGGTGTGTGAGACTGGATGACTGTTGTAGTAATATTAGACTGATAGTAATATCATATAACACCACTACAGCAAAGACTAATGGAAATGTGTATTATAAATACATATATAGATCTCTCTCAGAGAGATCTATATATAGATCTATATATATATAGATCTATATATATAT